TTTGGTCATAAACTCAGTTATTCTTTATACAACAATTACTCAATGAAAGCGTACTATATGCTACATACTCTGGACACTGGGATATTGACAGTTTCTTAAAATATTAAATATATACTTATTATATGATCCAGTCATTCCATCCCCAGAAGTCTACCCACAAGAAAACGAAACATATGTCCATTCAAAGACTTGTATGCTAATCTCCATCAACAGATAAGTAGATAAACAAAAGGTGGTATATCAATACAATGAAATACTACACCATAAAAAGGAATGAAATACTGATACCTGCTATAACGTGTCAACCTTGAAAACATTATGTTGAGTGAAGGAAGCCAGACACAAAAGGTTACGTATTGTATGGTTCATTTATATAAAATATCCAGAATAGACAAATCTATAGAGACAGAAAATAGATTAGTAGTTGCCAGGGGCTGGGGGGAGGGAAAAATGGAGAGTGAGTATTAACTGGTATGGGGTTTCTTTTATTTTTTTTCTTAACATGTAATGTATTGGGGCGCCTGGGTGGCTCAGTCATTAAGCGGCTGCCTTCGGCTCAGGTCATGATCCCAGGGTCCTGGAATCGAGCCCCGCATCGGGCTCCCTGCTCCGCGGGAAGCCTGCTTCTCCCTCTCCCAGTCCCGCTGCTTGTGTTCCTGCTCTCGCTGTCTCTGTCAAATAAAACAACAACAACAACAAAAGAAAACATATAATGTATTATTTTTTTTCTGGGGTACAGGTCTGTGATTCATCAGTCTTATATAATACCCAGTGCTCATTACAACACATACCCTTCCCAATGTCCATCACCCAGTTACCCCATCCTCCACTCCCCCCACCCCCCACCCCCATACAGGGTTTCTTTTAGAGGTGATGAAATGTTCTGGAATGAGAGAGTGGTGATGGTTGCACAACCTTGCGAATATACTGAAACCATTGAATTGTATACCTGAAAGGGGTGGATTCTATGGTATGTGGATTTTATCTTACAAAAAAACCCAGGAATGACCTATTGATACATGGCACTACATGGATGAATCTCCAAAAATTCTGCAGTCTATCAGACAGAAAAGAGTACATACTCAATGATGCATTTATAGAAAATTCTAGAAAATGCAAACTAAATTATAGTGACAGAAAGCAAATCAGTGGGTGCATGGGGATGGGGGTGGGGCAGGAAGAAGGGATTATAAAGGGGCAGAGGAAACTTCTGGGAGTGACGATATGCTCACCATGATGATTATGATGATGTTTTCATGGGTGTATACATGTTATTTTAGAAATAATACAACCCCTCTTCTGCCTTCCTGGGCCACCACCATCTCTTCCTGTGTGCATGTCTCTTTGCGATATTTCTGACAGAGCATAAAAAGTCATCTCTTAGGCCCCAAATATGAAAAGTTATTTTGTTCTATTCATTTCTGTTGATATTCTGAATCTTCATATTAGTGCTTTCTGAAAACAACCTATAAATAGGATATGGCAAAGACAAAGGGGGTGTTGTATCTTTAACTTTCATATTCTTCAAGCAGTTTTTAAAAGAGAATAGGCTTGGGGTACCTGGGTGGCTCAGTTGCTTCAGTGTCTGCCTTCAGCTCAGGGTCATGATCCCAGGGTCCTGGGATTGAGCCCCGCATCGAGTCTCTGCTCAGTGGAGAGCCCGCTTCTCCCTCGCCCTCTGCCCCTCCCCCCAGCTTGTGCGTATGCTCTCTCTCAAATAAATCTTTTTTTTTTTAAAAAAAACATTTGATTTTTATTTATTTGACGGAGAGAGAGACAGCGAGAAAGGGAACACAAGCAGGGGGAGTGGGAGAGGGAGAAGCAGGCTTCCCGCTGAGCAAGCAGGGAGCCCGATGCGGGGCTCGATCCCAAGACCCTGGGATCATGACCTGAGCTGAAGGCAGACGCTTAATGACTGAGCCACCCAGGCGCCCCTCAAATAAATAAAATCTTAAAAAAAAAAATACTGCCTTCTGCCCACCCCAGATCCCTTTGACCCTGCTGTTCTTTCTTTTTCCACCATGGCTCTTTTCCCCTTCTAAGATACTAAATCATTTACCTCTTATACTTACTTATTGTCTCTCAGCCCCTCTGGAACATCAGCTCCACAGGGGCAATGATCTTCATCTGTTTTGTTCATGGCTGTATCCCCAGTATTTAGAATCATGTCTGGCATATAGTAGGGACTCGTTTGTTGAATGATTTACTCTCTTCTGTATCCCTAGCATGAGGAATGGTACCTGGAATACAGCGAAGGCTCAAGAGACGCCTGTTGAATGGATTGGGGCAATAGTGGCACTTGGTGAGGACCCACTGCCCCTTGTGCAGTTTTCCAAGGACGCTTTTTGGGTCCTTTATCATTCTGCATGGTGCCAGAACATGGAGGTTAAGAGGCCCCAACCTGGGAGTGGAGGGGAGGAGCCCCTGGCTGAGGAAGGAATATCAGAGGAGAATCTAACTGCATGTTATCTGCCACCAAGCTCAGCCCCAGGCAACAGTCCTAAGGGCCCAAATAATTGGCTCCCCTCTGAAAGGCAAAGAAGCTGCTTCTTGAGTCTGCTGCCACGAATTCATGACTGAGTCTGGACAGTGTCTAACAGAGGCAGCAGACTGCCAGGGAGACTTCTGGAGACTTAGCAGGGGAGGCAGATGCTTTCTCACCCACATCTTGTTCATTCCCCGTGACATGGAGGAAGCCAGCCTGAACAAATTGTACGTGTCACGGTCCCCGGCTTGCGGGTGGCGGGAAGTGAATTCACAGGCTCACAGCTGTTGCTGCAGCAACTGTGGCCAAAGGGGCAACCTTGGCAGCCAGCAAGCACCAGGCAGAGAGCCGAGAGAGAATTCTCCTTGTGCGCAATGAACGAGGGACAGATTGGGAAAGCCTCCTGATACTGTCCACACTTCCCCGGGATCTAAGGAGCCTGTCCTGGAACTGAGGGATCAGGAGGGATCCACTCAGGGGAAGCACAAAAAGCCATGATGGTCTGTTGGGGGACCAGGTGCTCTGCTAGGGCTATGCATTCTGGACACGGGGGTGTATTCAAGAACTTCAGGCCCTGTTTCTGAAGACAGGCTCGGGAGAAGACAGTAAACTCCAGGAAACTGAAATCTGATGAAAGATCTATCTTAAGCATCATGGCGCAGGGAGAAGGACTGTCTGAAACTGCCAGGTTATGCCACATTTCAGGGCAGAGACAGGTGACCAGTGCCATCCTGCAGGAAGCTTTAAGCTCTTCTCAAGGGTGTTACCAAGATGAATTTACTATGATTTGGAGAAAGGAGGAGGCCTTCTTGACTAAATATAGCACATACAACATGGGAACTAGACTACTGGACATGCTAGATTGGGAACCTTGAGAAGGCATGACATTCCTTCCCCACAACATGAAAAATATAACCCAGCCTGGGAGTCCGGGGGCAGTGTGGACAATCACCATTACGACTCAGGAACTGGAGCAACTGGGGGATGGGGGTTTGTCCTCTGCTGTCTGCCTTAACCACCCTGCTAGGCCAATCTTGAAAACAGATGAGTTCTGGAATTAGGGATGACAAACCAGGAAATCCATAAAATTGGTCTTTGCAAGTATACTTCACAATGGGGTACGAGACTGGAAGGTTTTCTGATCATCCCTTACCTTACTCGGCATATGGCCACTGAATTGGCCAACTCACTGTTTTTCTGTATTGGCTCAATTTTGCTCAAAACAGCAGTCTGCCTCTGCTTGGCAGGGACAGCAGCTTAGCTTTATTATTCTGCTCTAGGGGATGTTTGCCAAAGAGAAGGGGGATGGGCAAAATAGGTGAAGGGGATTAAGAGGTACAAACTCCCAGTTATCAAATAAATAAATAAATAAATAAGTCAGTCAGTCAGGGAGATGAAAGGTACACCACAGAGAAGAGAGTCAATAATGTTGTAATAACATTGTCTGGTGAGTACGCTTTGCATGGTGGGCACGGCGTCACGTACAGAATTGTCAAATCACTATACTGTACACCTGAAACTAAGATAACATTGTATGTCAATTATACTTCAACAATTAAAAACATTTTTTTAAAGATTTAATCAGAAAAAAAAGAGCTGTTAAGAATTTTAATGCGATAATTCAGTTATTTAAAAAACAATTCTCCAGTGCTGTGCCATGTTCTGACATGTCATGAGTTTATACCCGGGGGGTATAGATCTAGCTCATACACCATTTATTACATCAACAACTCAGTGATTGGGGATAATTTAGAAGCAATTGTGCCTAAAGCTCTGGCTTCCCTTGCTGCTTTTCTATCTCAGCCTGTTAAATAGGAAAAAGTTTAAGAACTGTCTGACAATCACCTTTCTGAGAGTCCAGTTACCTGGAGGAATCAGAGGAATTCTACCCGGGACACACAAAACTTTTTTACCGTCAAGCCAAAGTTTGGGGCCTAAAACGGGGGCCCCGAAATTAACTAGCCGCTCTGGGAGGTAGCACAAACATATCCTATTTGTGGGTAGAAGCCTCCCTTTCCTCTGGACTCTCGTCACCGGCACAGATATCTGATCTGGACCAAGAGTAAAAGCAGAGCCACTGCTGGGATTCTCACTCAGAAAGTTGTGCAGAGATGTGGCATTCCAGGCTCCGTAGTATCTGCTCAAGGGACATACTTCATAGTTTTGGTGTTCCAAGAATGAGCTTGTGAGCAGGTGGATCCTTTGACTTGTCTGTCAGCCCCTACAGGGCCATGGGGGCTGAAGCCTGGAATGGTTCCCACCTCAGTCAGCCCAGCTCCCACTTCTACTCAGCTCAGCACACATTTATGACCTCATCATTCTACTAAGTTTGGGAAATGATTTTTATTACACACTAAGTTCTGGAAAATACTCAGTTTGTTTCGAGCCTCCCTTCTGGTCCGTCTATCTCGTGCCCTGTCCTTGTCCTGGAGCTACAGTGCAAGCAGACGGCGGAATGGTGACCTCCCCACCTCTGCGAAGACAGGCTTTTCACACTGTACAGAGCCAGCAGCAGGCCGGGGACGGTGGGGTGGTGGTGGGAGTGGGGCCACGGGTCAGTCTTCATCAGAGTCCCGGGGGCCCACGTACTGGCAGACAGCATCATAGTGAAGCTCCACCAGCTGATTCTCTCTCCGCAGCTGCACCAGAGCCCGGCTCCGTTCCCTGTCCCGGCCCAGCAGGCGGCCCACCTGGAGTAGTGGCGGGTAGAGTCAGCAAGGCCAACCCAGACGCCAGGACAGCCCCTGCATGGCCCCTGCCCCACCCACGCCCAGGTCTGGGACTCACCCTTCCAGCCTGTGGCCCCAGCACCACCATCACCCGGTTGCCCTCGACCTTGGGGACCAGGGTCTCCAGCATGCCTTCCTTTACACCTGCAGATGAGGAAAGGGGAGTGAGTGAGGCCCTGGGTCAGGGCCAGCCCACCCAGGGTCTTGTCAGAAGGCCTTTCCTGTATTGCCCAGAGCCACCCTGCACCCCATTTCACAGGAAAGGACACCTAAGGAGCAGTTCCTAGAAATAACAATAAGAAAGGGAGCACTTATGCACGAAGATGGTGGGTGATGGCAACTGATCCCATTTACTATGGGCGTGTCACCTGCCTGCCCTGCACAGGGAGTTCCGTACACATCCGTACGAGGCCCGGTCCTCAGAGGGAGAAAGAGCTCATTTTCATGCCAGTACTCGCTCACGTGGAAAGAGGGGCTCAGATAATCACCATCACAGAAGCGCCTCAGGCTCTGTTAGAAGATTCTGGGCCTTGCAAAATACCTGAACTCTGCCCAACCTCCCAGCCTTTGCCCACGCCAGCCTCTTGGTCGAAGACAGCCTTCCCATTCGGGCTCCGGTATGGTAACGACCCAGTGGTCATCCCTCACACTCACCTTCCAGGATCCGGCCTTCGTCTGTCCTACACACACAGGTATCTGGGCTGAGGACATCTTCAATCGTCATCTGGGTAGAGGGCCAGGGGGTGTGAGAACGTTAAGAGTTACGGGGGCTTAGTCCCTGGGGGCAGAGGGGGCACCAGGTTGCAGGGTTCCCACCTTGGTGTTGTAATACTGGCCGCCCTTGTGCTGCCTGTCCACAAAGCGCACGCGCAGGTCCCTGTGCAGCCAGTGCTGGCTCCGGGGGCCGGCCTTCTCATTCTTGGCTGCAGGCTCCTCCTGTCTGTGGAAAGGGGCCAATGCAAGGTTTAGCTGCTCAGACGCACATTCCGGTCACCCCACCTTTGTGGCTGTGACACGCACCCATACTGCCATCCCTAGTTCCTTCTATGTGCCTGCCTTGCCCCAGAAGCCTTCTCTGACTGCTAGAATGCTTCCACAGCCTTGCCTTCTCCCCCTATCCCAGATGCCCAGGGTCCCACCGGTAGGGAAGGTGTTTCCGCTTCCTCTCCGAGTCCTCCCGCCGGCCGGGAAGGTCCTGATCCCGGAGGGCCTTCCATGACGAGGCTGTTCCGTTCTGTTGCCCTGGGGACGTTTTGCTCATCTGGCCTGTGCAAGAGTGTGTGGAGGAGAACCAGGAAGGAGCCTTAGTGTGCCATTCTCTGACCCGGCAGGCTACACCTCGGCCTCGGGCTACCTCCCACCTGCCTCAGTGTCCCCTCCCACCATCACAACTTTGCTGGTGCCATTAGAATGCTCTCCCCTTCCCCTCAACTGCTGGGGCTTCCTTCAGGATGCCTTCCTTAGCTACTCCAGCATGTGCTGATGGTACTGATCTGAGGCAACCACCTAGTGTGGGCTAGGGAAATCCGAGAGCTCTGTCAGCACCAATCTCCCATCTGCCAAACTGCCCCCATCCTGCTGCCATGCCTGGATTGCCTTCCTCCTTGGTCATGGCCTAGTCCCAGGTGCCCTCATGCCCTAGAAGAAGAGAGGCTCATCACCTTGAACAGACAGACCTCCTGAGGATAGGCATAGGTTTCTATACCTGTTTTTTCTCTCTCAGAAAGAGGCTAAAGCCCCAGGGTAACTAGATCAATTTTTCTTCAGACTGAATAAACCATTTCTTTGTTCTCACTTCCTGACCTCTGACCAGATGGCACACCTGCCAGGCAGACCGTGGCCCCTCCTCTCTGCGGATCTGACACCCGCACCCCTCCCAGCCTCGCCCCCCGAGACAGGCTCTACTGCCCCCCCTGGAATGCTTCTCCAACTCTCCCAGCAAGGTAAGAGGCTCACTCACTGAGATCCAAGCAGTTCTTGTCAAACTCCTGCTGGGAGACAGGCCGTAGGCAGAACTCACTAACAGTCACCATGCGGTTCCCCACGGCCAGGCGAACCACGGCCCGAGCATTGTCAGGATCAAGGCCTTCTACCTGAAGTGTTGGGAGGAAGAAGTTGGGCAGTGGTTGAGAGGACTAAACCCACATTCCTAGGACCAAGCTATCCACTCTTACCTCCAGTAGGCCTGACCCCTGTGTCTCCCCCACCAGACTGGCCCAAGGTCTGGGCCTGGGTCCATGTGTCTCCCCTACCAGACTGTGTGCCTTGGATATATTTTAAAGAATTTAAGTCTCAGGAACATGTGGCATATGGCATTCTCTCTCTCTCAGTTGGAAACTGAGGCCCAGAAAGGCCCAGCAAGTGGTTCTGAGTTACCGAGTGAGGCAGCAAGCCAGGCAGGCCTGAAAGACAAGGACTCCCATCCAGCCTTTCCATCAATTCCTCCTCCCTCTGACCCCTCACATCAATCTTCTCTGCTGCCTGTCTTGGGCTCTAGGCCTAGCCTGGTTCCTTACCTTCCCGTAGAGGCCTCGGTGAGGGCCGGAAAGAACCACCACAGCCCCTCCAGGCACCAGTCCTCGAGGCTGGTCTTCCTTATCCTTCTCTTGCTCCTCATCTGGCTTTGGTTGGTGGTGGGGGCCAGTGGAGACCAGGGCCTGGACCTCATTCAGGTTGGCGCCCAGCCCTAACCCCTTCGGCCTCAGTGAGTTGACACGGGGCTTCACCACTCTGCAGGGAGCACAGTATAGGAGCTTGTTGGGCTGGGGATATGGGGCGGAGGTTGTGTGCAAGTCTTCAGTGTCCCCACTACCACCACCCAAATCCCACCCTGTCAACATGTTCAAGAATATCCTTCCCGATCTCACATTAGGGCTGTTTTTGATCTATAGAAATAGCAATTTTATTTGGTCCAACCTAATAACACACTGGGTATACCATCTATTACATATTATCTACAGTGGCATCTGAGGCAGATCCCTATAATCAATTACCCTAATATTTCTACAGGGGAAATCGTACAAATATTCACACCAAGCAGGAGAAATCAACTATAATATGCTCTCCATCAATTCAGGTCATGTTTGGCTACTAAGCGGTTTATGAAAAAAATCGTTTTCAGAATTCTTTGGAGTTGAAAACGGAGAAGGGATCCTAAGTCTGGGTGATAACAGCGAATGTCTTGTCTATGTTTATTTGGGGCCAGGGCCTGCTATAAGTGCTTTATGTGCAAAATTTCATATAATTCTGCAACAGACCTGGGAAATCAGTATTGTTACTATCCCCATTTTGCAGATGAGGAAGGTAATGCTCAGAAAGGTAACCTATACATAAACGGAACCCGTTACAGAGTTTCAAAGGGCAAACAGGAAACTGAAGCAGTAGCGGAAAGGCTTACTGAATTACTGACACGCCTTCTCCCTGCCTGGATGGTTCTGGACGGGCGGTAACTCATGGGGGTCTTGTTCACTGCCCTGCTGCTGCCCCCTACCCCTACCCTAGAACTCACTGATTGAAGGTGCGGCCAATGCCCTCGCCAGGTTTCCAGCCCATGCCTCGTAACATGGCCAGCCCATAGGCCTCTACGGGGACTGCCTCATAATCAGCTTCCTCCGGCACCTACAGGTTCAGCAGAGAAAGGATGGTCAGGCTGGGCCCATGGTGGGCCCTCAGAAGCACGTTTACTAACACCCAGCGGATGACCCTCAGTGCTTCTTCTCCAGTAAGCTCAAGGTTAGTTTTGATTTCCTCTTGCTGTCCCTCACTTTAGTCCTCCACATTGTCCTTCAACAAATAATTATAAAGCACCTATTCTGTGCCAGGTACTGACCTAGTTGATGAGGGTAAAGCAGTGACCAAAACAGACAAAACCCCCCGATCCTGCCCTGTGGGGCTGACATTCTAGTTATAGAGACACAGAATAAAAAAAAATACATAAAACAGGTTATGTCAGGTAGTGGTAAGTTATATGAAGAAAAATAAAGCAGATTGAGGGGATGCAGAGGGATGGAGAGGGGAACATCACTGAGTTGATATCTGAGCAGAGACCAGAAAGAGATGACAGAGGGAGCCATAAGGATGTGAGAAGGACGGGTAGTCCACGCAGGGAGAACAGTAAGAGCAAAGGCCCTGTAGGAAGAGCATCGTGAAAGTCAACCTGACTGAAAAAGAGATGTGGAGGCAGAGAGGGGCGGTGAGAGATTAATCAGGAGGTCTGGGCTGGAGCCGCAGGAGGGTGGCCACCAAAAGGGGGCCCATGAGGAAGTTACTGCAACAGTCCAGAAGAGAGATGCTGGTGGCTCAGACCAGAGTGGTAGGTAGGTGCTGGTGCAAAGTGGTCAGATTCTGGATGTATTCTGCAAAGGGAGATGACAGGCTTTTGCTGAAAGCCTGCATAAGGGGTATGAAACAAAGAGGGGAGTCAAGAGTGACTCTAAGGTTTTTAGGCTGAGTGAGAGGAAGGATGGATGGAACTGTGATCCACTGAGATGCTGAAGGCTGGGGAAGGAGAGGAAATGAGAGAAATGAGGCCAAAGTGGGAACAGGATGGAAAGTGAAGGGAAGGTCTTTTAAGATGAAAGAAACCAGAAGACAGCTGAAGGCCAACGAGAACAGTTCAGTCGAAAGAGAAGATGGTCTTGGGGCGGTAGGAGAACTAGGCCCCAAAGAAGCACTGCTAAAAAAATTGTGAATAAAGCGGTGAAAAGTGGGGTCCGTGGGTATGAAAGACAGACTTGGTTGCTTCTGTAGACACACCCCTCACTTCCCCTGTTATCTATCACTTCCCATCCTCACTCCCTTGATTCTTTTTTATCCCCCCCTCAATTCTTTATACTCACTCTAGATACACTGCAGGTTGTTTCACTGATGGACCCACACCACACTGACTCCCTGCCACCGTGCCACTGCTCAGGTTGTTGCTGCCATTAGTACTCACCCTGATCTTCCCTCCCTCACTAAACCCGACCTGTCCTTCAGGCCTCACTCCTACCACTCTGGTCTGAGTGGCCATCATTTCTAGCCGTGCTACTGGTCTCCTTGCTTCCGCCTTTGCTGACTACTCTGTTCTGCTCACAGTAGCCAGAGAGATCCTGTCAAATCTTAAGGCTTGACCCTTCTCTGCTCAGAACCCTCTCATGGCTCTCATCTGGTCCACAGGGCCCTGCTTAGTTTAGCCCCTGCCACTTCTGACTTCGTCTCCTCCTCTTCACTCACTCCACTCTAGTTACACTGGTCTCCTTGGTGTTCCTCAAACACTCCAGGCTGAGTCTACCCTCAGGATCTTTGCATTTCCTGTTCCCTTAGCTCCTCATCTTACTCAGACAATCCCAGAATGCAAGTGTTTTCCACACCTCAGTAGCTGGATTCATTTGTTAATGCTTCCAAAAAAGGACAGAGGGAGAAAGGGATAGGCAGCAGGCCTCTAGTACACACACAGACTTTCCCTGCTGTGTGCAGAGAGGCAAGCCTGGCAGACAGGGCAAAGAGAGGCTGGGGTAGGAGGAGTTAGCGGCCAGCTCACTGTCTCAGCCCGGGGTTCGCTGTCTGCCCCTTCCCCGTTAGGGATGCATCCTTTCTGGATCATGGGGATAGCAAGCGTGGGGTCGACACCCGAATTCTCTCTCTCCTCCAGGGACTTCTTGGAGTCTAAGGAAGAATGGGAGGGAGCAATGAGGTCCCACCCTATCCTTCCATTTTCCTCCCCCTCTTCCTTCACTGGGGCAAGGCGAAGAGGGGATCACTCACCCTCAATGAGCTCCTTCACAGCCTGGGACAGCACCCCATCCACCAAGGCCTCAGTATTTGTGGATGGCCCAGGGGCCTGGGTCGGTGGCTGCCTGCGATGGCCATTCTTGATCAAAGGGATGATGAGTTCCTTGGGGGTTTCTGAGGGCTTCACACTGGTGTGGACACAGCGGCATGAAGTTGGGAGAGTAGCATGGTCAGTGGGTTCTGAGCCACACTCCTCCCTTCAGAGAAAAAAGGGCCAAACTCACCCCCCCACCCCAGATGGACCACACCCTCTACTCTCCTGTCCGGTCTCTAATGGTGCTTTGTTTGTTTTTAAAAGATTTTATTTATTTACTTAATTGACAGAGAGACAGAGACAGCGAGAGAGGGAACACAAGGAGGAGGAGTGGGAGAGGGAGAAGCAGGCTTCCCGCTGAGCAGGGAGCCCGATGCGGGGCTCGATCCCAGGACCCCGGAACCATGACCTGAGCCGAAGGCAGACGCTTAACGACTGAGCCACCCAGGCGCCCCTAATGGTGCTTTCTTTGGATTCTCTCCCTCACCCCCAACTCTTAAATGTCAATGCCTTTGAGGAATCAGCCTTCATTCCTGGACCCTCTGCTCATCCCAAGACCCACCTCCATGGCCTTCACAATGACTCACAAATCACCATCTTCAGCCCAGATTCTCCCCAGATCCAGGGTTCACATCAATCTCCTGGATGGTTGATTTTCTTCTGGAAGTCTCTCCCTCTGACTCTCCTTTCTGAATTAAGCTGATGATGGTCTCCCCCAACCCGAATCTGCCACTCCGCCCCGTTCTCCATACTAGTGACGCTCCACCGCTTCAGCTCAGACACTAGGGGTCCTGTCATTCTTCACTCCTTTCCTTCTCTCAGAACGCACACACCTCAGGGTCCTCAAGTCCTAAAGACACACCCTCTCAGGCATACATCCTTTTCTCTCAAACGCCACGGCTGTCAGGCCCAATTTCCCCACCTCTCCTGTTCCACACTCCCGCCTTCTAGCCTCCACGAGTTTTCCCAGGCTGTGCTTCAGGCGTTCCAGACCACTGCCACCAAGACAATCGACTCAGACTCCACCCTCCCGCTTGCACCCACCGAACCAAATTCCAAGGGATGAAAGACCCGGCGCTTCACCTTTGCAGCTCCCTCCCTTCCACGGTCTTTAAGAAATCCTTCTCCTCCGGAGCCGCACCCGCGTCGTCCGCGAGCCGTCTCCGGGCAGATGTGCGACTGAAGCTGAATGAAATTGGGGCAGCGGAGGCTCCTCCGGGCCGCAAAGCGGCCTCTTCAGCATCCGCCATCTTGCCCCTCTTTCCCAGGCGAGTGCGCTGCTTGCTGGGAAGTTTAGTTTGGGCTCAGTTTGAGCAGGGCCAGACAACGAGCGCTAGAACTACCTTTCCCACAGAACACTGCGGCATCGGCGGGCGAAGGTGAAAAAAGGGGCCTTCGGAAGTAATTGTCGCTCTTTTTACTTCATAGGAGTGCGTTGCGCCAAGCATAAAGGGAAATGTAGTTCTTGGGTGAAGTAGGTACGGCAGAGGTGGATTCGTTCTTGCCAGGTATTCCTTCCTTCCTATAGGAGGTCAACAAGTATTTATTAATTACCTACTGTGTGCACGTTACTGTGCCCTACTGGTATGGGAAATGTAGATAAACTACATCATTAAGAAAAAAATCTGTGAGTGCCAGTTGTGTACAATAACAAATAGACATTTAAATGGTGCCTACCGATGCCAGATTTAATACACAACAAGCTCTGGATTCAAATATTATTAAAATAGACATCCTCCTTTCTAGAGGCTGATAGTCCAGTGGGGAACAATAACACTTAAACAGATATTACATATATATATACAGTTGACCCTTGAACAATGCAGGGGTTGGGGGGCCAATCCCCTGCCCCCACAGTTGAAAATTTGCGTGTAACTTTTGACTTCCCCAAAACTTAACTACTAACACCCTACCGTTGACCTGAAACTTTAATGATAACATAAACAGTAGATTAACACATATTTTGTTTTTACATGTAGTATTATTTTTGTTTTGGGGGGTTTTTTGTTGTTTTGTTTTGGGTTTTTTTTTAGGATTTTTTTTATTTATTCATTTGAGACACAGAGATACAGAGAGAGAGAGAGAGAGAGCATGAGCAGGTGGAGAGGCAGAAGGAGAGGGAGAGGGAGAAGCAGGCTCCCTGCTGAGCCAGGAGCCTGATGCGGGGCTCGATTCCAGGACCCTGGGATCATGACCTGAGCCAAAGGCAGATGCCCAACCATCTGAGCCAACTAGGCGCCCCTGTTGTTTTGTTTTTAAGTAGGCTCCACGCCCAGCATGGAGCCCAGTGTAGGGCCTGAACTCACAACCCTGAGATCAAGACATGAGCTGAGGGCGCCTGGGTGTTCAGTTCGTTGAGCGTCTGCCTTCAGCTCAGGCCATGATCCCAGGGTCCTGGGATCAAGTCCCACATTGGGCTCCCTGCTCAACAGGGAGTCTGCTTCTCCCTCTCCCTTGCCCCCCAAACCTGTCATGTTCTTTCTCTCTCAAATAAATAAAGAAAATTTTGAGGAAGAGAAAATACATTTATAGTACTATACTGTACTATAGTACATTATATTGGGAAAAATCCTGGTATAAATGGACCCATGCAGTTCAAACCCATGTTGTTCAAGTGTAAACTGTAGTTCCTAGTGTTACCCAAAACTGGGTTTGCCTCTTGATGGATATGGAGCCAAAAGACACATCCAAGCAAAGAATAGGAAAAGATAGGGTTTTACTTGCCACAAGTGAAAGAGAATACTAGAGCTATTTCCCAAAGCAGTGTCTCCTTCAACAACAAAAAGTGGGCGAGTTTTAAACTAAAGGTGCATATATATTCATGGAAGGGCTTGCAAAATAGGGAATTCAGCACGGAATTGGGGCAAAAGTCATCTTAAGGGGACTGAACCCAGGTCTTAAGTTAATTGAAGACACGAGAGCTGGCAAGGGTCAGCATCATCAATTCTCTGGCTCCAGATGTTCCAGTATTTGAGTGCTCAAAGGGGCTTAAATCCTGCAAAGATGACTCAAGACTATGTGTCAATCTTTACTTTTGAAACAGCACTGGGAATTTTACCACTGATTTATTGTCCCTGATATGCTCTCTCCTGGCCTGAGAATGTCTGTTTGTTCTCACATTCTTTTGTTTCCTTCAAATCATTATCTATTGAGGTCTATTCTGCAATTTCAACGCATCTCAGGAAGTTCTGCAAGAAATGTGCTTTGGGTAAGTAGTGCTGGTCAGGCATAGATTACAAGATGATCAGGAGCCTAAAGTGACTTTTCTCATGTCAAGAAAGCTATGCCTCATCTTTCTTTTTCCAGGGATCCCTAACTATTTCTGCTTATACTACCAACATTAAATATGTTGTGAGAGCGAGGTTCTAAGGCTTTGAAAGATTAATGGGACAGATTCCTCTTGTGTAGGACCATAAAGAGATAGGGAAAATGAAAGGGCCCCATGAAGGGCTGCTTTTTTGCCCATTTTCCTGCTTCTATTCTTGCTAGGACCAGCACACCTGCCTTTCCTATTCCTTGTAATACAAATAATGTATGTTCTCTTTGTAAGGATCAAGGAGTTAATGATTTCTTTGGAGTCTTCCAGCACAACAGATAACTTCTTTTTATTTTTTAAAACATTTTATATATTTATTTGACAGAGAGACACAGCGAGAGAGGAAACACAAGCAGGGAGAGTGGGAGAGGGAGAAGCAGGCTTCCCGCTGAGCAGGGAGCCTGACGCGGGACTCGATCCCAGGACCCTGGGATCATGACCTGAGCCGAAGGCAGACGCTTTTTTTTTTTTTTTAAGATTTTTTTATTTATTTTTTAACAGAGAGAGAGACAGCGAGAGAGGGAACACAAGCAGGGAGAGTGGGAGAGGGAGAAGCAGGCTTCCCGCTGAGCAGGGAGCCCGACGCGGGACTCCATCCCAGGACCCTGGGATCATGACCTGAGCCGAAGGCAGACGCTTAACGACTGAGCCACCCAGGCGCCCCGAAGGCAGACGCTTAACGACTGAGCCACCCAGGTACCCCACAATAGATAACTTCTAAGAATTGTCTAGGTGAGGCCATCATGTGTATATTCCAGACCACCAGAGCTAGACATCTGGATGCCAAGACTCCCTAACTCCAAGGAATTAGTGACTTATGGAGGGCACCTGGACCCTTTTAGTTCTGACCAGTTTCTGGGTGCCTGAGAGGACACTTACATCAGACCACAATCCTCAATAAAAGCCCCAGACCCAAGCAAAAACAAGACACTTTCCTTTCCTTTCTGAGTCTCCCAGACACTCTGTATCTGCACTCTCACTATATCTTCAATAAATTCTGCTCTTACTTCCTCTTGGATCACATTTGATTTCTATCCTGTGTGAAGCCAAGGACTCTCTTGGCTGGTCCTGCGGGACCCCCTCTGGGTCCTCAGACCTAGCCTGCCTACATCATTAAGAGCTTGTAATTTAGAAGACTGATACTTAAATAGTCACCAGAAAGAATACTATATATCTGCCAACAATTCATCCCAAGGAAATCATTAAAGATGTGTGAAAAGATTTTTTTTAAGTTTATTTAAGAAGTTTCTATACTCGGGGCGCCTGGCTGGCTCAGTTGGTGGAGCATGCGACTCTTGATCTCAGAGTGGTGAGTTCGAGCCCCAAGTTGGGTATAGAAATTACTTAAAAAAATAAAATCTTTAGGGGCACCTGAATGGTTCAGTTGGTTGAGCATCTGGTTCTTGATTTTGGCTTGGGCTGTGATCTCAGGGTTGTGAGATTGAGCTCTGCATGGGTTGCACGCTCAAGTGCGCAGACTGCTTGGGATTCTCTCTCTCCCTCTCCCTCAGCCCCTCCCCCAGCTTGTGCACTCTCTAAACAAACAAACAGATAAATAAAATCTTTTTTAAAAAATAAAAAATAAAATCTTAAAAAAAAAAAGGAATCTCTACACCCAACATGGGTCTCGAACTCATCACCCTCAGATGAGGAGTCACATGCTCCTCTGACTGAGCCAGCCAGGTGCCCCACAAAAAGATTTTTTTTTAAAAGATTTATTTATGGGGTGCCTGGGTGGCTCAGTCGGTTAAGTGTCTGCCTTCGGCTCAGGTCATGATCCCAGGGTCCTGGGATTGAGTCTGCTTCTCCCTCTGCCTGCCGCTCCCCCTGCTTGTGCTCTCTCTCTCTCTCTCTGATAAATAAATAAAATTTAAAAAAAGATTTATTTATTTATTTTAGAGAGGCGGGGGAAGGGCAGAGGGAGAGGGAGAGAATCTCAAGCAGACTCCCCACCAACTGGGGAGTCCGACTTGGGGCTCAATCCCCCGAACCCCAGATCATTACCTGAACAGAAATCGACTCAGCCACTTAACCTACTGAGCCACCCAGGTGCCCCCACAAAGATTTTTATATGAGATTCATCATAGTATTATTTATTGTGGCAAAACATCGAAGACCACTTAAATGAACAACAGAAGGGGACGGGATAAATGAATTATATAGCACATTCCTTGGATGGAACACATATACTAGAAACTTTAAATGTGAAGCTATAAATATACTTAAATGAAAGTGGGACATAGTCAAAATGTTTGGAAAGTAGAATAATATGGTGGGTCAGGGGACGATCTTGAAAACAGGAAGCACAATAATCAAATTCGTGGCCATGTTTCCAGGCTTAGAGGCCCTGGGCATCCTTAAAGATACCCAGCAGATAAAGACTACAAAGCAGCTTTTATAAATGTCAATCTAGATAAAGAGGCAAACTGAGGCAAGCTCAAAAAGATGAGTTTATTTGGGAATATCAGAGAAATTGCCATTCTTGCACCCAAACTGTAGCAAGCTACAGAGGAGTCCCAAATTCCAATTCCTCTATTTCCAAATAAACTCATCATTGTGAGCCTGCCTCAGTTTACCTCTTTTTTAAAAAAAGATTTTATTTATTTATTTGAGAGAGAGAGAGGGAGAACACAGAGGAAGAGGGAGAGGGAGAAGCCGACGCCCGCTGAGCAGTGAGCCCAATGCGGGGCTTGATCCCAGGACCCTGGGATCATGTCCCGAGCAGAAAACAGACGCTTAACTGACTGAGCCACCCAGGTGCCCCAAGTTTACCTCTTTATTTAGGTTAATATTCCTTGGAGTCAGAAGTGGGATCCAAAGGAGATGACCCCCGAAGAGTGATGATCCAGGGAATCAAGTGACGTACCCACACGCAGCCCCCTGCACTAATCATTTCTGTGGGTCACGGTCTACTTCCCGGTTTGGTGAGTCTCT